AAAAAAAAAAAAAAAAGAAAAACTCCCTATGTGAATGAAGGCTGAACTTAGCAAAGAGAAAACAAATTCCCCTTCCTGAGATTGCCTGCCTTCATGGGATATTTGCAGGTCAGCAATATTTTGTGACCCTAAGGGGAAAACCAACAGACTCACAGAGACTTCAACCCTGACATCATGGAGCGTATGACCTAATGTCACCAACCTTCTACTCAGCCTTAACTTCATTATATGCTAAAATGTACTCCTTGTTGGAGCTACTGTATTTAGATTTCCTGATATTGTAATGAAATACATTTCTAACAGATACTACAACACAGGTATCATCCTTCTAGAATAACAACACTGGGAGTAAGAGAAAAGGGCAGGAAAATTCTAGTCTACTCCTTATTTCAGTTCAGAGCATTAGGTCTCTATTACATTAATACTGTCTGTTGGGATATCCGATTAGGTATAGATACCTTCAAATACAAGATCAGAACCTGAGTATAGTTGATTGTATGGTCAAAACTACCATTTCGGTGTTAATGGAGCAAAGCGGGTATTTTTTACAAAACAAATATATGAGGGTCTTCTTTCTGATTCTTCCTATTATTCATCCATAACACTAATCTGTAACAGAGCTGTGTGGTAAAAGATAACATTATGAGAATATACAATCAGGCTATAATTAACCAGAGATGACAATTATAAATAACACTGTATCCCAGAGTTTCCAAGAAACCTGACATACACAATTCTTGGGTTGGCTGAAACACTTCCAAGAAAAGTTAAGAAGTGAAAAATCTTTTAGAAGTCTTCAATTAAAATGTGTTTCAGTAAAAATGACTTTCATTACGTGTTTTGGTACATATTACTAGAAAACATTCATCCCTTTCTTCACACCTCTAATTGTTTTCACTATCCAATTACAGCTTTTCAGAATTCAGACCATCTAGTTGGGACAAAAAGTTAATGTGTATAAGGTGTGTTCTCAAGAAAACAGATCTCCACTCCAGGATTCCAATTACCTGGATTTCAGGTTATGCTACCACCTTTTAGACGGATGGAAAGTACTAGGCTGAATTTCTTTTGTTTCCCCTTTCTTTTCTCCCAGCTCCTTTCCATCTTTTCTCTTCTTTAGGACACCTATTCCATGTACTTCTTGTACTTTCTGAGTTTACAAAGTTGGGAGTATTGTTTTAGAGAGAAAAATATCATTCTTTTGTGATTCAAATGATATGGGAAGATTAAACTATCAGAGAAAGTTATCATATGTTCTGTCTTTCATGAAGAACTATGAAGCAAATGTCAAACCAACTACTGATCTACCTATTCTTTGGCCATGGGTAAAGTGGAGTGATTATAAAAATTAAATCTATTAAAAAGGCAGGTATTAGGAAAATAACACAATCTGTATAGTAATGTCACTTCATGTGGAATAACAAGTATCCACCTTTGTCAACTCAGGTATGTAACCAATCTGATATACTTAAGCAATATGGGGTCTTTATTCAGTTCCTAGAGGTAGGCTCGCACACATAAATATGCCATGATTATCAGTCAAAATAAAAATGTGATCTAAACTGTAAACATTATAAAGGTGAGGACATATTTTCTCATTCAATACAGTACCTCAAGTACACAGTACTGTCCCTAATACACAGTAGGTACTGATGTTGAATAATTACTAAGTAAAAGATATGTTTGACATTATCTCATTTCTATGAGTTGCACAGACATAGATCAATCATTTATACTGTAGAAATGACACCCAGCCTAGTTCAACAGGAAAAGACAACCACAATAATGTCTGCTTCTAAGAGAGATTTAATAATCTCAATTTCACTCTCACGTATCAAGGGTAACATATGGGATAAAGTAATTTGGATCCTTCTGCTGAAAAGGTTTACCTACACATTATAAGAGTTTGCCATAGTATTACAGTAATGGAACTGTTTCACCTTCATATTTTAAGATTTTCACTTAAAAACCCATAAAAATATAAGACTTTAATTGAAGACGTAACTCAACGGCATTCAAAGTGCATGGTGATGAGATTCGAGAACCATAACCTTCTTGAGAATGAAGACATCTTAATTGGCCAGTAGATTTTGGCAGGTGTTATTTCAAAAGTAAGTGTTTAAAAAAGTTATAATTATACAAAAAAGAAAGGAAAATTGAAAGCAGTGGCTTTCAACAGAGGCAACTCAAACACCTCAAATAGGAGGTGCTAATCAGAGAACTACAATGAAGTATGATAGTGGAGGTGGAATAAGAAGTGAAAATAAGGTCCCCTAACAATGGACAACTATGGACTAAAGTGAATGCATATGGTTCCAGTCCTGTTACTTAATAAAAAAGCTGAGCAGAGTCACTGGAGCCGGCAGAAAGTCATGTGTTAGAACAACAGCTGATCTGTATTAGAGAAGATTAACTCACAGTGCCAGGGTGGAAGGCTCAGGATTATTTTATGTACTTCCATTGCCTTACAAGCCGTCAGCACAATTATTGCCCTCCGACGTGAATGACTGATCTGTAACCACAGCTAAACAGCATGCTGCTTAGGGGCCTAGGAGCTTCATGAAGATGAATTTCCATACCATCAAAGTGCTTTTAATGGGCTCCCTGATCCAACCACAAGGCCTGTTTTGTGAGTATATAGAATTTAGGATGAAGGCTTCCTGTCCAAAAGGATTTGGTCGGTTGTCACTTGACAATCCCCAGCCAGCCCCAGAGGAGGAGAGAGGGGGAGATAGGTAGAGTTGTCTCTGCTTCGGAGGATTATAACAAAAAAAAAAAAAAAAGGGTGCAGATGCTTGCTGAATGCAACCAACTGCTGTATCCACAGCTGAAGTCAATGCGCTTAACAAATAATGGCAATTTAGCTATGCTTGCGAGGAATAGCTCGAGTCACTTTGCATTAGCATCTGGCTGAGTGTTAAACTCATTTCTACATGGGGAGCAGAGAAAAGGAATTTCTGTTTAAGCATCTTTTCAAGAATGTTTAAATATTTGAATATGAATTCCTTTATGCTTGCTATCATTCCTTCTTAGAGCTGTCACTTTGCTTTTCCCCTTCCCTTCTGGTTCTTAGCTAGAAAAATTGTGTGCCTTTCTCACCGCACCAGTTTTGCTCCTCTCATGTTGTGGGACTGTGAGTCATACTGACCCATGTTCTACTCTCCGCTCCAGAAACAGAATAGAATGGAAGTCGTGTCTCCAACATTTTGGCCCATGTTTGGACCACAGAAAAAGAACAGTTGTGACAGGATCACGCATACATTTCACCTTCACTGTGCATATTGCCAGCTTCTTAGAGATTATACATCAAATTCCATATAAAACCTGGGGAACCAGAAAGCTATCCAAATAAGCAACTGGCTTATCCTATACAATACTGTTGGACTCATAAGTTTCCCATGATGATTAACTATCAAGTTATTGCTAAGTAGCCAATCATTTTTTTCTGTCATCATATCTATTGACTCGTAACTCTAGGATGGTTTAAAGGGGATTTGATAGCACTTAAAAACTTCAATTCAAACATATCAAAAATGACCAAAAGAAGTACATCACTCTGAGCATTCGATAATACCTTATAATACTTTTCTGAATAAAATAGAATCTAGTTTAGACCAAAGAGTTTAAAATTATTAGATCTCAAATAAATTCAGAAATTTCACTGGGCGTAGGTACAATAACAATGTCCAAGTTTTAAAAAGCACATTTTGTTTTATAATGAAGTCAAATTCTCTGATTGTGCAGTTGCCTAAAGCTTGACAGTGCTTTGCATTAGGAACATATGATGCGCTCAGGATCCTAGATCTTTAGACTATGCGCACGGGTATCATCCAAGCTTATGCTGATTAAAGAAGATCCCGCATTTTCAAATCCAGTTCATCCCCAAATACAAGTTAAGCATCTTTGTAAAGCAAAACTTTCCCTCAGACTCAGATATCTCAAATGCCATTTTATGTCAATACAAACTGATGGCAGAAAATGAGCTATTAATTGTCAGTAGGATATACAAGAGAATTATAACCCTATTTTTGGTAGGTTTTGATTAGGGTGAGTATGGAGATTTCTGTATTGACAGAAGGAAAAAGGGAGGGAAAAATCATAATTCTGAGATGGTGAGAGGATGAAAAGATCATAAAGAAGAAAAGCATGCAGGCAATTTAAATATTTTTGGAAAGTCAGCTATTTTATGAACTAACCTTTTCTGTCCGGCAATTATTAAGACCTAGACTGTTCACAACAGCTACCTTCCCATCAAGCACCTGTTGTTCCCGCCGAAGTTGCTCCTTCATCTGCCGAGCTTCTTGGATTGCCTTGGTGACAGCATCATGGTCATTTAAATAACCTGGAGATGTGACAGACAAAGGATGTGTTTTGTACAAAGGCATCGATAGGTTAACCTTTAACCATAAAAATCTCATTTCTTTTGGGGTAATGGATAGTGTCTGGCATATAATGATTTCTCAATGGAATTTGCCTAAAGGAATGAAGGAATGAGTGAATAGGTAATTGATGATGATTGATTCATACAGTCATACATAAATATGGTGTCAAACATCTGTAGTAAAAAAAACATAATATTTAAGTGAAATATAGTTGTTTCCAGATGTTTGGAAAGAAGTTTAAAGTATAATTTTTAAATAAACTTTTTTATCTGAATATTTTGTAGTGCGAAAATAAAACCTATCTTTGATTTTTTTTTAATGGAATGGTTATTTGAATGTTACCATAGGGTATGAATATTGATAATTATCACTATAATTATTGACACTCATGGAATCAGAAAGGCCGATTTAGAGTTTATGTATAGCACTATTAAGTTTGTTATTTACAGAAAGAATACATCATTATTCACTGACTGAAAGAAGCACATTTCCCCCAAATCACGGTAAAATAAACCACAGGTGGCAGTGGTTGGCTATGGATAAAAACTTGCAATAGTTAAGATGCTAAATTCAAGCACAGAATGTAACCAAGGACCTGTAATTGTTGGATAAGAAAAATTGTGGCTACGGTAACTATAGTCACACTTAATTCACACTCTTAATAAGATGGTCAAATGACCAGCTTATGTCTGCAGCTCCACAATCCAGAGTTAGTTAAAAGAGAAAAAAAAAAAAAGTTGAAATATTTCTTTTAAAGAATAACAGGTGTAAGGAGCAAAACTAATTATAACTTAATGTTAATTTAACACTGGCCATTTATGTATTTGATGCACATTATAATGATAATCTGCATGATTTTAGGGTCAAATATCAATGAGAAGAGATTGTTTTGCAAATATTGAAAGGAAAGCTAGTATCTCATCTTTCGCTCTCCCTATCTTTTAACTAGGGCATAAAATGGCATAAACTGAATGTATAATATGAAATTGCCCAGAAAAGGGACTTGTTTGTGACATGAGGCTAAATCTAACCAGATCCATTGGTGAATTGTGACAGATGGAGGGACTGTGAGACAGAAGGCAGGCACTAATCACACATAAAATGACCGGCTTGCCTCAACATGTTCCATGGATTCCAGCAAACTTTACACCCTAATCCATTTTTAGAACAAAAAACATCTGGGCCATAAATCCTCTAATCTGCCAAAACACGCTATTAAATCCCATGATTTGTTGAAAAACACTAAGATTAAAGAAAGGAAATATAAAATGGCTAACTGCCGTGTTAGGAAAGTGTTATTAATACTCTTTCTTTGTCTCAATTATGAATGTTCTGGTACTAAAGAGCCTTGTCTAATCATGTCAGATTACACATCCTCGTTGTATTGCTAGAGACTTCTATCTGATCTGCTCATTGCCAAAAAACATAGACTACGTTCTTGCTTCTTAAACATTTCTATTGAAGGAGCTGATGGGAGATTAGTACAGTGCTTCAGTGCTGGCAGGTTTCTAAATGATCCGTGCCTCTCCCCCACGCACTGTGCACAGGCTAGACCTTGTCCTCTCATCTCCTTCAGGCAGAAAGAGCAGTTCCAGCGCAGGCAACAGAAAGGGCAGCCTTGAGAGCTACTGTGTATTTTGCTTTTTAGACGTAAATTCTTTGGAACTTATTCGAAGAACAAAACATCTATGCTCATTTCAAATAAACTACAAATCAGAAACGACTCTTTAGACCTGGGTCAGACCTTTGGGGTTAACATTTACTATAAAAGATGGATGTCCTTAACCTTCTAGTATCTTCAACATCCTGACTTGAACAAGCTTCGTAATATATTATTTTTGAACTATTGTCTTCATGAGCACCACGACTCTAGAAAGAAATATAGCTTTTATATGACAGTGATGGTCTTGGGAAATGTTCATATAGTGAGATCCAAAGAGCGTCTACCTGATGTTCCTATCCTCCAACCCGTTTAGGTACAACCTGGCATCGTGCATTTTTGTTGTAGCGTCTCCAAAGCACAAATACATGTGAAATGGTTTGGCACATGGTACTGAACAAAATTATAAGTTCTTTATGCTTTTTAGGTGCTGCCTAGGTAACCTTGTGAAGGGAAAATGATTAATAGAGTTACAAAGGAGCTGCAGATTATGATGGGGGTAAATGACGGAGGTAGACATGTGTTCTGTAATGGCTATTTCTAATTTGAGGGGTGGGTTCATGTATAAGTGGACATAGGCGTTCACTTTAAAACAAACATTCTTGCTTTTGGAGACTCTTGAGTTTTATTAAAATAGGTTATGAAATTTTAACATTTGTATCTGCTGTGTCAAACCATAAAAGCCATTTATATATTAAAGAGCTGACTCTCAATCAGATTGTTTGTTGGTTCTTCAGATTTTGTTCTTATCGTGGTCACCAAATTCCCAAATCTTGCTGACTCCCTCTCCCTTGGCAAATGGTCTCCCCTCTGATCTTGGAAAGATCCGTCAGGCTGAACTTTCCTCTTCCGGCTGCCACGCTCCTATCCCTGCTACCTTCAGATCTATCTCCATTTATGCCCATTGCCTCCTTCTCGTTCCATGAAAACGGTTCCTCTCATTTCATTCAAGGCAAATCCTTTAAGCTCGTATTCTAGATTTCTATACATCACCATCAGTTATACTCTCTCACATTTATGTCATCTATCTGGTATTTTCTACCATCTCCACCACCTCAACTTGTAAGTACTTAAGGCTCTCCTCCTAAAACAAGCAGATCAAGTCTCTCTCTCTACTTTGTGTTGCTCCCTCTTTCCAATCCTGCCTCTCTATTTACATTCTAAACCAAGCTTCTCAAAGGTTCATATCATACTCTCCAATTCCTTCCTTGCTCTCCCATTGCTGCTGCAATCTTGTTTCTGCTTCCCTCGCTCTTTTAATTGCCAAATCCAAGGGACATTTCCCATTCCTTGCAGAATGGAGGCACTGATGATCTCTTCATTATTGAAACTCCTTCCTTCCTTGTTTCACATAATAGCATCTCTGACTCCTCCATGTTCATATCATTTCCTGGGATTCTCTCTTCACCTACTCTTTAGATTTTCGTCGAAAGTTTCAGTCCTCAGGAGAAGTATGTGTTTTAGAGCTGGACAAGTCTGAACTAAAATCCTAGGTTTGCCACTTCTAGCTATGTGAATTACACAAGTTGTTTTACTTTTCTAAGTCTCAATGGTATCATTGGTTAAATGCAGATAACACTCACTAGGTAACATAAATGCTGTGAAGATTAAATGAGTTAATCTAGTTTCTTAGTATAACTAGTGGTCCCTGATGGTTATTCAGTAACTGTCAGTTCACTTGCAAAATAGCACAGGGAAACAGATAAAATGTGGGCATTAGCTTCAGATAGATCTGGGTTGCTGCTTCTTGCAAAGTGTGATATTTGACAAATTATAACACTTTTATCTCACTGAATTTCCAGTTTTTTCAACTGCAAAATCAATGGAAGGTCAATGGAAGAATTAAGTAACATACACGAAGGTTAGATAACACTTGGTACCCGAGGAGACAGAAAAAAAAAATTCCTTTCTTTTTTTATTTGACCTATATGCTTACCCTCAGCAGTCTTGTTGCATGACTTTAACCATTATGATACAGTCTATGAGGGGATATCATTTCTTGCTGGTAGAGAGGTTCAATTAAATGGAAGTCACCCCATGAGAGTTCACAAAGGCCCCACATGATCACTTGATGCATTTTATTCTTCTTTCATTCTATATTGAGGCAGCAATTGCATCTCAAGGCAGGATTGGAAGGCAGCATGTGTTTAGGAAAGGTTTGGTGAGCCTCAATCTTAGGAGGTAAATGAGAGGGCAAAGGCCAATATGGCTCCAGTCAGCCTCTCAGATGAGATTTGTGAAATGCCGGCTAGGAATCATTAAGATAACACATTTGTGAGATCTGTAACCTTGTTAAATTGACCATAAATTGATTTCTCATGCCTCAGTGTTTCTTCTTAACCATTACCACCCAATTTCTCAAAATTAAAAAAAGGCCCCTTTTATATATTTTCAGGGGAAGAAAAAACGGACAAACTGGAAAGTCTATTCTTAAAGGGGATAACACCTAAACAGAAAGAGTGAGTAATGCCTGCTCCTCCGTGAAAGAAGCTGTCAAAAGGTCGAAGGAAAAACAGAAAACTACTTGTCTGGGTTGAATTTTATCTCTCAAAAAGATATGTGCATGTCCTATCCAACCCCTATTATCTGTGAATGTGACTGTATTTGGAAGTATAGTCCTTGCAGGTGTAATTAAATTTAGGACCCTGAAATGAGATCACCCTGGACTTAGGGTGGGCCTTAAATCCAATGGTCAGTGTCCTTAGAAGAGAAAGGAGGGAAAGATTTGGCGTACAGAGCCTGGGAAGAAGGCCACATGACTATGGAGGCACAGATTATTAGGCTTACACATCTATGAACCAAAGAACACCGAGGAGTGCCAGCAGTCACTAGGAGCCAGGCAAGAGGCATGGAACAGATTCTCCCTTGGAGACTCCAGACGGAACTAGTCCTTGCTGACACCTTGACTCTGGGTTTCTAGCTTCTACATGGTGATAGAATACGTTTGTTTTAAGCCACCCAAGTTATGATCATTTGAAGCAGTGGCCTTAGTATCCAATATACCACAAATCGGTCTTAAATGTTCTCCTCAGAATCAAGGGGCGACTCTTAGTACGATAAAATATCTACTGTCTGCTTCAAATCCTTCCTGATTCCCAGATACATATACCTGTCTCCTAAGCTTCTCTACTTAGATGTCTCATGAGTACCTGAAATGCAGCATGTCTAGAATTCATCATTTTCCCAGTGCCCCAATCTGTTCTTCCTGTATTCATATTCCTTTCTAGTTGTACATCCAGTCACTTGGGAGTCATCTAAGATATCTCCTTTAATGCAGACATACAAAAGGCGACTAAGCCC